CCCTGGGGCTTGAGAAGATCCATGCATCAGTTTACGGCGAGCTAACCCCAATAAGATAGACTCAGAACGGTGACTTAAGTGTTGCACCAAGCTTCGTACGTTAGCAGCATGTAGCATTTGCAAAGCTGATGTCGTCTAACTGTCAACAGCGATATTTCTCACAAACTAGTCAAACGAAGGGTCGCTCTTTTGTTGCGACCGCATGGTTTCTTATTTCATTCCACAGTACGGGCTTTAACAGGATTAAAGTCAGACTTACATCGTCGTCCAGAAAGTCCAGGTAGTCCCTCTGAGCCTCTCTCATCTCCTGGTCATCTACGACGTCGGTTGCCATGGTACGCGGTTATTTATTACAGTTTAAAATGTTAAACTATAGCACGGAGCGTTGTACGGTGTGTGTGCTCTGCTGCCGTCGAACCACACAACTGAAGAGATTTCGCGCCACTACGTGCCGGGCGCAAGTAGAGCGTAAGATGCTATTGGACAACTCGGCACGTACTCTTTTACGTAGACGGCGGGTAAAGTACAGCTGTCCAATACAATTCACGCCCGCGGTCACATGACTGCGGCCCACCAAGAATTCGCGGGAAAACGGAGCAGGAAGGAGGAAAAGCTGATCGTCACCTAACGAATTCGTCCAGGAGATGGCGACATAAACAGGAAATTTAAGAGCTTGAGAGTTCAGATATTGTCATGTGTTACAGATATTTTATACATAATATAATATAATATAATATAATATAACATGACGTCTAAATATCTAAAAAATAGTCAGTTATTTGGGTTTTTAATTAAAGATTTTTTTTTTAGCCAGTTAATTTAAATAATTCGATTCAATGTCCAGACTGTGCAGGCTACCAGCTCATGTATCACATAAAACATTATTTTTTAACTTTGTGTGGTTTATTACATTTTGTCTAGCTGCAAACAAAACATCAACCAATCAATTAGATTCTTTATGTTTAATTATAATATGATCTTCCACCATCATCATCATGAAAAAAACCTCCATCACAAGACTAAATGACTACAGGCCTGTCGCTCTGACATCTGTAGTTATGAAGTCCTTTGTTGTTGGCCCACCTGAAGGACATTACAGGCCTCTTGCTGGACCCCCTGCAGTTTACCTACCGAGCAAACAGGTCAGTGGATGATGCGGTCAACAAGGGACTGCACTACATCCTGCAACAACTTGACTCTGCAGGGACATAGAGCTCGGCGTTCAACACCATCACCCCGGACATCTGTCACACCAAACTCACCCAGCTCACTGTGCCAGCCTCCACCTATCAGTGGATTACAAGCTTGCTGACTGACAGGAGGCAGCAGGTGAGGCTGGGGAACATCACATCCAGCACCTGGAC